GTTCTTACGCGGAGGCCGTAGAGGGTCCCTACTCCTCTCAGTGGCAGGCAGCTATGGATGCAGAGATGGCTTCCTGGAAGTCCACAGGCACCTACGTTGACGCGGTTCCCCCTCCTGGGGCGAACATCGTCAGTGGCATGTGGATCTTCAGGGTGAAGCGGCCGCCGGGCTCTCCACCTGTCTTCAAGGCACGGTACGTTGCTCGTGGCTTCAGTCAGCGGCAGGGAGTTGACTACTTTCAGACCTTCTCTCCCACCCCGAAGATGACTACTCTTCGGGTGCTGCTGCACATAGCCGCTCAGCGCGACTACGAGCTTCACTCTCTCGACTTCAGCACTGCGTTCTTGCAGGGTAACCTGCACGAGGAGATCTGGCTTCGCCGTCCACCTGGCTTCACTGGGACTTTCCCTCCTGGCACCCAGTGGAGCCTCCGGCGGCCAGTCTACGGTCTCCGCCAGGCACCGCGTGAGTGGCACGACACACTGAGGACTACGCTTGCGGCTCTTGGGTTTGCTCCTTCTACTGCTGACCCGTCGCTGTTTCTTCGCACCGACACTTCCCTGCCGCCGTTCTACATCCTCGTGTACGTCGACGACTTGGTCTTTGCCACAGCGGACACTGCTGGACTCGCCTACGTGAAGTCCGAGCTGCTGAAGAGACACACGTGCACAGACCTGGGTGAACTGCGCAGCTACCTTGGCTTGCAGATCACTCGGGACAGAGCACGCCGCACCATTACCTTGACTCAGTCACACATGGTGCAGCAGGTCCTTCAGCGCTTCGGCTTCACGTACTCCTCGCCTCAGGCCACTCCTCTGCCTACTCGCCACTCACTCTCAGCTCTGCCTTCGGATGAGTCCGTAGAGTCGAGTGGTCCGTATGCAGAGCTTGTTGGCTGCCTCATGTACCTGATGACCTGCACACGACCTGACCTTGCATACCCTCTGAGCATTCTTGCACGCTATGTTGCTCCTGGGAGACACAGACCGGAGCACATGGCTGCAGCTAAGAGGGTATTGCGCTACCTGTGCAGTACGTCGGGCATGGGGCTAGTGCTTGGAGGGCGGAGTCCAGTGGTCCTTACCGGCCACGCGGACGCTTCTTGGGCTGACGACCAGGCTACGCAGCGGTCGTCACAGGGTTACACCTTCAGCCTTGGTTCCGGCTCTGTCTCGTGGCGGTCTACTCGCTCGTCTTCGGTTCTCGGCTCCAGTTGTGAGGCTGAGATCTACGCCGGGGCCATGGCTGCACAGGAGCTTCGCTGACTCACCTACCTGCTGACTGACCTTGGAGAGCCGCCTCGTTCTCCTCTAGTGCTGTACGTAGACAACAAGGCTATGCTGGCCTTGTGTCGAGAGCAGCGCTTGGAGCACAGAACGAAGCACATTGCTCTCCGCTACTTCCTTGCTCGTGAGCTGCAGCAGCGTGGTCAGTTGCGACTTGCGTACGTGGCCTCTGAGGCCAACACTGCTGATGTGTTCACCAAGGCACTCGCGCCTTGTGACCATCAGCGCTTTTGCACCCAGCTGGGTCTTGTGCCTGTCTTGCCTCACTTGCTCTCCTCTTGACTTCACTTGTACTGTGACATATATATATGCCTGCTCTTGTTTGTCTAGTTTTATATATATGTCTGTACTCCTGCATGTGAACTGGCCTCTGGCCCTACTCTTGTGCTCGGACTGTGTGGTGACTTTGTGATCCACCCGAGCTTGTTTTGCTTTGCTTGACTGGTCTTGTGACCCCTTGTTCTCCCCCACTTTGCCTATGGGGGTGTGTCAGATTTATATGACATAGTTGCTGTAGGCTATAGTGGGGTAGCACATATGGGGTACAGGGTTTCTAGGGTTGTATTTGTACCCAATCTTTCCTTAGTCATCTCATTCCTGCTTACTCATTTCACAGATCGTAGAGATGAAAATGTATTTACGTGGACATTCACCCAGTCTACACGGCGGGAGCACATTGGTACGGGCGGTCGCCAGCCGATCTCGTGCAAGCCAATTGGCATGCACTCTATTTGTCGATAAGAATCAGCATGGATGTGCTGCGTTGTATGCTCCTCGTTGGTCAATGCACGCGTCTAGTTAATGAGCAAGTGTATGTTGCTCAATGCACGAAAACTTGTCCAGCGTTGTGCACGAAACGGCGGGCGCAGGCCTCACGTTTTCAGAGTAAATTACTCTGTTTCTCTGAAAATCAGAGTCATTTTTTAAAGTAACTCTGTACCCGCTAGGTAATTTTTTTGGGACTTCCGATTTCTTTGATTTGTCAGAGTTATGCTGTAGTTTACTCTGAGGCCTCTGGGTTTTTTTTTCGGGGACCGAATTTACTCTGTATAGGAAAACCTGCCGGCCCCCCTCCCCTCCCCACCCGCCCCTGCGTTTAGCGGGTTTTCCCCGAATCGTCGAGATCATTCTCCTGATTTCTGTCGTGTGTTGGCGGCAATATGAGCGCTGATTGGCTACCGTAGTTTGACAACTTTCCCAGCCAGCGCACGATGCCAGCCAGTCCCCTATCTCTTTATGTCTGAAGTGAACGTCGACGTTTCCCGACGAAACTTTGAGGGACGTCGAGGAATCCTGACGGTCGGAACGCTCAGTCCGAGGGTTGAGATTTGTCAGCATTCCCCGACGGAACTGTACATCCGTCGAAATTTCACTTCAGACACGCTCTTAGTCAGATTATCGGTGCCGCCAACACCTCACTCTGAAACATCGCAGTGAGGGGGGAAACGTGGGCGACGCGGAAACGAAACATAATGCAAGTACAAAAGGCGTAACAAAAACCTATTAAGGTCATGGTACACCAAACTTAACTAACATCAGAGTAGAGAAAAATATTACTCTGACGTGCCTGGTTTTTTTTTTGAAGTATAGGGTTACTCTGACAAATCAGAGTAAGGCGCAGGAACAACCCTAGATTTCAGAGTTGGGAAAAAAAACTACTCTGGAAATCAGAGTACCTAAAATCCAAAAATAGGCCCTGGGCGGGCGCCTATTGGTACAAATGTTGCGTGGTTGGAAACGAAGAGATCCAATGAACATTAGCGCGGAGATCACCGCCTTATACCTGCCTGCCATTTGTACCACATTTGTCTTTTCAGCTGACGCGGAAACGTAAAACACGAAGGTCGGACCACGTGTACGCACATTTGGTGCATGGTTTGTCATCCTGTGTGGCGCTCGGTTGGCAACTACGTTCACACTTGTGGATAATAAGCGTGAACAATTTTGAGGTGTTGGAGTCACCCCAGTGGTCGTTGCTCGCTCGGCGCCACATACAGCAATCGCATGGAATCAAATGTTCATTCACTTCCCTGAAATGGCAATTGGCTATTGGTGCGTGTTTGATAACGTGTAATGACAACATCTCTCGTGTCAATGTGTAAACTAGCCGTGTACCTTCCTGCCATTTGGCGCATGAATGACAGATCCCCCGCCATGTATTGGCTTATGTTCGCGCTGCGACGCTCAAAAGAGCGTCAGTAGAGTCCCGGGAGGTTTACAAGTGCAGTTACCTGACTGCCATTTGGCGCTCAAATGTTGTCGGTGATAAAATGCTCATGGCTAGGTTCGAGCCAAAATTTTCCACGTAGGTTTGGGCTCCCTCGGAAATTGAGGTCTGGTTCCACGAATACTGGAGGCGACCGTGTGAAATCCTGGCAACATTTTCGAGGTGACCGTACACTAATAGCTACACTCAGTTTTCCGATACGAATTGTCGGGAGCGCGGGAAGCGCGGGACAGAAGGTGGAGCGCGTGTCTTTTGGGTTGTGGAAAATTTTGAGCGCGATGAAAAAAATTCACGAGGGCAAAGCCCGCGCCGCGGCAATTCTCTCGGAAATACTGCCGCGATGTGTGAGGTTCAAGTATTTGTGCATGCTTCCGAGGACAATCCGAAATTTTCCGCTAAGAACTGTCTCAGTCTGCACTTTCAACCCACGACTTCACTAGTAACAATACTTTCCGTATCACCGCACACAGCAGTAATAACATAACTTCACCGGTTAAGAAAGCATTCATGTTAAAATAGAGTTGGTATTCTGTGGAACTAAGTGCGATTCTGCTATCGAACCATCTACCAAGAATGCGGGCTTCAGATTCGGCATGTGATTTGAACGAAGTGCTGATTCTGACTCTGAGGTTACTGGTAGAACAAAAATAAATTGGCATGTCTCCTGTTGCCACGTGTGGTGGTGACATTTTGCCTAAGCTTGTGGTTCGTCTTCAACCGTGCACAACTCAAAAGTATCTCGCAAAGTTCCCCCCAGACCAGACCAGAGCACCAATACTCTCCCCCTCCAAGCGTCATCGCATTGCACCGACCAACAACACTGATGAGCCGCATGACCCATGCTCAAGATAAATTTCCAATGATTTACAGCATACGCTTCCAGAGTTACCGTACCACATCATACACTTCCAGGATTACAACAGAACACACCCACAGGGTTACCACAGCACACACCCACAAGGTTGTCAGAATCCCAACCACTAGACCATTGGGATAAAAGGGCTTGTTTAAGTAGCGGGTCAGTGCGCCCATAACCCCCCAGGCAACCGTGCCTGTAACCCTTCCCTAGGATCAATCGGGGATCACCAGTGGACCTCTGACACCCCCCCGCACTGGGATGCCCGAAGTGCATACACCGGGATTCGAACCCGAGACCTTCGCTCTGATACCATGTCAGAATCCCAACCACTAGACCATTGGGATAAAAGGGCTTGTTTAAGTAGCGGGTCAGTGCGCCCATAACCCCCCAGGCAACCGTGCCTGTAACCCTTCCCTAGGATCAATCGGGGATCACCAGTGGACCTCTGACAAAGGTTACCACAGCACACACTTCCAGAGTTACCACAGCATACACTTCCTAGATGACCACAGCCTGGGATCAATTACCTAGTAGCAAAGCTCCTCCATCTCGCAAAGCATAATGCTCTCTTCTCTCACCTAAAGTCGTCCCTTCTTCCGCACCCCCACTCACCTCGCACCCTGCTCCCTCACTCCCCCACTCCTCCCCCGAACACCTTACCCCATGCGAGCAGTGCCTTGGCTGCTCCATCTCGCTTTGCCTCCGCCACTGTCGGCCCCATGCCCGTGCCCATCCTCCTCCCTGCTGCATACACTCGCACCCTCTCTGTCACGTGGGGCGTGAGTGTGTGTTGCCTGTCCCTATGAAGCTGCTTGCCATAAGCAAAGGGTGTTCACATGGTGACGGGTGGAGGGGGAAAGAGGGTGTGGAGGCAAGGTATGGACAGGAAAAATGGGTGAAGGGGCGCGATAGGTAAGGGAAAAGGTTGTATGGGGGGATAAGGGGATTAGTGACTAAGATGCCAGCATCCGCCAAGAAGATGGCCTGCCACTTCAGCCAGCGCTGGTCAGTGGCCCTCCAGCACTCCCAGGCGAACGCCCTGCACACCAAGGCCAGGGCTGGGATTGAGGCAGCGCACCCCCAGATGGCAGCGGACCCATGGCCGCTGCACCTAGGGGACATCCTCCACACGTTGGAGGGCTAGAGGGTCACTCAGGGGGGGGGGGGGGGGAAGAGGGGTGAGTTAATGGGCTTAAGGGATTGAGGTCATAATGGATAGAACTGCATGTTTGTACCCCTGCAGAATTAATACAACGGACCGTTTGAGGGAAGGGGTCGGATAGAGAACAAACGAGCATTCTCAAGCAGAGAAAGCCCATGCAAGTGCCCTTTCTTCTCCCCTCCCAGTGGAGTGGAGCGTGTAGCACGGTGAAGCCTATAAACCTTGATGATGTTTCCACTCATACGCACTGGTACTGTGGGACGAGCCTCATGTGCCAGAGAGTCAGCTCCTGCAGGCAAGCCACGGGGTCATATTGCTCTGAAGAATCCATTCTCCTTGAAATCACTTTTGAGAATTCTCAAAAGTGATTTCAGGCAAGCCACGGGGTCATACTGCTCTGAAGAATCCATTCTCCTTGCTCCTGCAGCATCGCCCCCCCTCACATCGACCATCCTCTCGTCGCCCACCACCCTCACATCGCTCCCACAGTCCTGCTGGAAATGCTGCAGCCGCTGCCGGTGCTCATGCCCAGGTTCTTGCTCATACTGCTGCCCAAACTCCAAGTTCTGTGTGTGTGGAGCAACAGTGCGCGAGTCGACTAGTGAGGGCAGCAGGCGTGTCACAAAGGCTGCCGCTGCTTCCAGGCCCTAATGGGGGGGGCAGGGGATTGTTAACGGGATGGAGTAGGGAATTGTTACGGGGATGGTGACGGGGATGGGGATGGGGAGGGTGACAGGGAGGGGGGGACGGGGACGGGGAGAAAGGACAGGGAAGGGGAAGGGGACAAGGGGGAGGGGACGGGGACAGGGGGAAGGGGACAGGGAAGGGGAAGAGGATGAGGAGGCGAAAGTAGACGGGGAGGGGGAAGGGGACGAGGAGGGGGAAGGGGGACGGGGGGGGGAAAGCGAATGGGGCCGGGAAGGTCAGGGAGGGAAAAGGGAACGGGGAGAGGGAACGGAATGGGGACGGGGAAGGGAATGGGGAGAGGGAAGGGAACAAGGAGCGGGGAGAGAAAGGGTAGGGGGAAGGGGGCTGGATAAGGATGGAGACGAGATGGAATGGGAGGGCATGTGCGCAGAGAGGACGGAGTGAGTGTGGACGTAGCTACACTAATGGTCCAAAGACAGTGAGTTGGGGGTTGTGGGTGGTGTAGGAGAGGGGCTTTACTGATGGACAATGAAACACCCGACCGCACTATCAACACTATCAGAAGAGGTGATAAGCAAGCGGAGCTGCCAGCCTTGAGGAGCTCTTGCTGTGAGGTTGGTGTGAGGATGGTTTGGGGGTTGTGTGAGAAGCACTGACCTTTTCCGCGTATACTGCACCAACAAGAGCCTGCATAGTACAGGCAACTAACGAAGGCTGCAGTAACGGGTAAAAAAAGGGACCACGCACAGGAACAATGCAGAAAGACAGTCCAAAGCGTGAATAAGCAGATTTGCTATCAGGCACTTTTGCTTAATTGGATCTCTTGAAAACGTCTGTTTTATCACACACTCTATCACCACCACAGAGAAATGTAATGTAACACCATACGAAACCAGTCAGTCCCCTCTCCAGGTAAGATCTCGTCAGACACGACATGGTGCGATCATACAATAACATCCATGGTAACATGATGTGATAACACCAGATGGACTCATCACATGCCCAGCTTACACCACACCACACCCACGCCCACACACTGCGTGTGATGAGTCGATTTTTAAGTCGACTTAAAAATCCACCCACGCCCACACACTTCCCCATCCCCACCCTCAGCCACACTCCGCACTATACCTCCACTTGACCACCCCCAACGGGCACGGCACGCTTGCCCTGCATGAGCAACATGTCTGAGAAGCTCAGCATGGCGGCCTCAAACTCAGAGCCCCCCTTCCTTCCTATACCCGTTCCCCCACCCCCACCCCCACCAAACATGCCTACCTCCATTTGATCCCCTCCCATGGCCAATTTGAGAAGCAGCACATCTGAGAAGCTCAGTATGGTATCAGGCAGTCCCACAGCCGCCCCTCCTATGCCCGCCAGACTGCTGTCGCTCACCTGAGGGGAGGGGGGGAGGGCAGGGACAGGGCGGGGAGCGGGAAATTGGGGTGGGAGGACAGGGCGGAGGAGGAGAACAGGGGTGGGGGAGCGCAACAGGGCAATATCTGAGCTACGTGTGAGGTTTTTGCAGCACTGGTGCAAAACAGACTCTTGTTGCTTGGTAGGGGAGGTGTGAAGAAGGGGACCTGGCGGGAGAACGGGAGCAGTGAGGGGAAGGGAGACAGGAGGCGGGGGAAGGGAAGTAGTTCGTGGAATGGGAACGGGAGAGGGAAGCAAACGTGAGAGAGGGAGGGAGAGGGGGGAGGGGCAGGAGGGGAAAAGGGGCGAAGGCCATAGCATGCCAATTTCTGAGGCGCCTACAAAATGAGGGGCAGGAGGGGAAAGGTTGACGAAGAGCACAACATGCCCTCTCAGGACACAAGCCCTCTCAGGACTCGCCTCATGAGGTGCGGGATTCGAAGACATGGGGAGTTTGAGAGAGATGGAGATGGATCAACATGGACAGAGGTGGAATGGGCTGGGAGAGGAAGGTGGAGAGGAGGGATGGTGAGTATGACACGGACGGGGAGTGAAGGTGGGGCGGGGAGGAAGGGAGGGAGGGACGGAGGGAGGGACGGACGGAGGGAGGGAGGAAGGCGAGCAGGAAGGGCTTTTACAAATCCTCAGAAGTAAATTTTGTGTAGAGGAGAGAGAAAAATTATTGACACGGACAGGGAGTACAGGTGGTCGAGGGGAGGGAGGGAGGGAGGGAGGGAGGGAGGGAGGGAGGGAGGGAGGGAGGGAGGGAGGGAGGGAGGGAGGGAGGGAGGGAGGGAGGGAGGGAGGGAGGGAGGGAGGGAGGGAGGGAGGGAGGCGAGCAGCGTGGGTATGGAGTAGGAGAGGCGAGGGAGTTTAAGGAAGATGTGCAAGCATGCATGAATGAAGAGAGGGAACGTAAAGCTGTGAAGAGAGAGAACCGAGGAGAAAGGATATGAGAAGAGGGATATGAAAAAGGCAAAGAAGAAAGGGGATCTAAGAGAGGGCGTTGAAGAGCGGGAAAGTGAAGGGACTTACAAGCTGGTTTTTGCGTGAAATGAGATCACCCTGGTAAAAGGCATAGTGTGGGTGGGGGAAGGGGTGGGAACAAGGAACTGATTTAGCCCCTTTTTTAGAATTCTCATGAATAAGAAGAGACTAACATTAGCTCTTTTTGTCACTCTCGAACTACTTTGACGTGCCTCAGAAGTTGGAATTTCGCAAGAGCATGTTTGTGCACTCCCGAATCAAATAAGAGAGAGAGAGAGAGAGATTTAGAGTCAGAGTGAGAGCGCGGGAAGGAAAAACGGAAGCATAACAAGGAAAAGAGAAGGAAGGACGGAAATACCGCGAACTGAGTGAGCATGGCAGGTGGGGGGGTTGGGGAAAGAACCATAGGAACACAACAGGTCAAGAAGAGGGTGTGAGGAACCTTCTAACTCAAGGATAAGCAAGCGCCACTACCGTTCTTCTCCCCCACTACCGCCCTTTTTGCAACCCCTCAAAAGTCATCCTCCAATACGTACTCTCTCTTTTCCCGCCACTTTTTCCCCACCTGCACCTCCCCTCTCCCAACCCTCCCCACGCACCTCTATTCTCTGCCAGCGGCCGGGTGGCAACGGCAGTCTCTTGGCGATGTTGTCAGGGAAGGACCACCACACGTCGGGCCTGCTGCTGCTGACGTGGACCAGCGAATTCGTGCCATCTCCAGTTGACATGTGATGAAAAGGTTTAAGATTTACGTATCTCTTGTTGCTTTTCTGCTCCTGTCCCATCGCTTTCCCGTTCCCGTACGCACCTTCGATACTAAGTCAAATATGGGGTTGAACATGTGGTGGACTAGATATATAGGCGTTGTGCCACGTGTCGTAAGCTCAGCGCCTGCGTCTGAGCGTGCATTCCTCAAGTATCCTTGGCTGGAACGCGGCTGATCACGCATCATCCGTAGACACGTCAGCACGTGACGTTGTCGCGTCACGCTGTCGTCAGGCATCACTGCTGCAGGTGCTGTCAACAGAAGGTTCCTGGATCCTTCCTTCCAGGCTCGTCTGCCAGTCCATAATCTATTTACAACGCATTCGACTGACAAGCCACGAGGTGCGGCGGTAAAAAGAACCATGCCGTGCTGATAGCCCGTCCACCTGGTTTCCCAAAGTTAAAAGACGCCGTCGGCGAGGAATCCGCAAAAACAACGAAACTGCTCTTGCCACGGCGAAACAGATGTGGAGCTTTTCTTTCAGCACAACGACGAGATGCGTCTACCGGAATGAGAGAAGCTCATGCGGATAGAGCGGATAGCAGTACACGGTGTACTATGATGAGTCACGACATGTAATGAGGTTGGGTCGATAACACACTACACGGGGTCTTCATAGATAAGCGGTCTCATATCGCAGATGAAGCTCATACATCTGACGAGGCGCGTCGAGGATCTTACTAAGTGCGAAGAACTGTCAGATGCCTGAAACCCATTAGACGCTCCGCTAAGAACTGTCTCCATCCACACTTTCAACTTCAAATTTGAACGGTTCTGCACAGAAGTATTCACATGAGATACCAGGTGAATTATAAAAAACCATGGATAGGGGATTTTGTTTTACATGTGTAACCTGTGAAATGGGCTTCGTCAAGCATATAAAAATAAAGGCATTTCTCTATTTGAAATCAGCTCAGCCAACATGCCATTTTTCTTAGTTCTTACAACAAATATAGAAGCAGGAAATGCATAACCATTTTTCCTAGCCCGGCTGTAAGGAATTTTCTCGATATTCCTTAGCGCGCCCTGCAACATCGCATACAGCAGCAGCCGTTGTTCACCCGTTACTGCTAACGGGGTTTCCCCATGGCAGGTGCACGAGGCATGGTGCAATGATGACTAGAGCTCGGCAGAAATGTTGAGAATAGGGCTTGGAATGCCTGATATGCCGGTAGTCTGAGCACAGTATGGTTAAATAGTTTCATTGTTAGCGTTGCTAACCATTGCTCCTACTGCAAATGCTGAGCAGTCGCTAATAAGACATCGAGGTAACATCCTCCCTTTAAAAGACACAATCTTGATAAACAATAGAAGAAATCCTTGTTGTCATGCCAGGCGAGCTTAGACCCTGGGTTTGACGCGCTGTTAATGAGAACCTTGAGTACTGATAGTTGAGATAACAACAGGTTAGACTTGAGAGTCGATACAATGTTCGTCAGTTGAACACCTAGGTTGTACCAATCTCTTCGTCTTAACGAGGCGAATTCAAATATGTTGTTCTTAAAGCCAGCTGACACGTAGGCTTCACGCGCGTTGACTTCCAGGCTACGCAAAGGTGGCCATGGCGGCATTGGTGGTTCCATCGAAGAATTGTCAATAGGGTTTTGTGTGTATAACGGGGTTATACTGTGTTGTAATTTGGACAGTATTTCTTAGGGCGTGTCTGAAGTGCAAACGTCGAGTTTCGTACATTTTCGTCGACGAAACTCATCCGTCGGACCCACGCGTGTTGGTGTCTGAAGTGCAGCTTGACATCCCTCGATGAAACTCGACATTCGTACACATGCCGAGGGATGTCGAACAGTGATACCGGGCAGCATTTCGCACCCGCTACGGCAGTTACGAATATACTGTGATGCCGTTCGGATTGACGAACGCACCCTCGACCTTCCAGCTCACCATGAATGGGGTGTTTCGGGACATGCTGGACAAAAAGGTCATTGTTTACCTGGACGACATCCTGGTGTACAGCAAGATTCGAGAGCAGCATTTACATGACTTAGAGGAGGTTTTCCGGCGCTTGCAGCAGAACCGGCTGATTACTAAGGGCTCTAAGTGCGAGTTCATACAGTCGGAGCTGGAGTTCCTGGGGCACGTGGTTTCAGGGGAGGGCAATAAAATTGGCCCTCGCAAAGTAAAAGCGATTTCGGAGTGGAAGCCGCCCACGAACATCACGGAGTTGCAGAGTTTCCTCGGCTTCGTTAACTACATCCGCCGTTTTGTACCGAATATTGAGAAACTTAGAACGAGAATAAATTGACTAAGGAATGAAAGTGATACAAATGTGAAACCCTAGAATAGTGTACCCCTTAGTATCTAACCCGCTACAGCCTACACAGGCTAGATCATATAAGTTTGACACACCCCAATAGCCAAATTGGGGGAGAACAAGGGGTCACAAGACCAGTCAAGCAAAGCAAGGCAAAGCAGGCTCAGGGTGGATCACAACGTCACCACACATTCCGAGCAGAAGTTCAAGGCCACAAGGCCAGTTCACATGCATGAGTACACACATATATATAACACTAAACAAGCAAGAGCAGGTATATATATATGTAACAGTACAAGCAAGGTCAAGAAGTGAGCAAGTGAGGCAAGGTAGGTACAAGACCTAACATAGTACAGAAGCGCTGATGGTCACAAGGCGCAAGTGCCTTGGTGAATATATCAGCAGTGTTGGCCTCAGAGGCCATGTAAGCAAGACGCAGCTGACCGCGCTGCTGCAACTCACGAGCAAGGAAGTAGCGAAGAGCGATGTGCTTCGTTCTGTGCTCCAGTCTGTGCTCCCAACACAAGGCCAGCATGGCCTTGTTGTCTACGTACAGAAATGGAGGAGAACGAGGCGCCTCTCCTAGGTCAGTTAGTAGGTAGGTGAGCCAGCGTAGCTCCTGTGCAGCCATGGTCCCTGCGTAGATCTCAGCCTCACAACTGGAGCCGAGAACAGAAGACGAGCGGGTAGACCGCCACGAAACAGAGCCGGAGCCAAGGCTGAAGGTGTAACCCTGTGACGACCGCTGCGTAGCCTGGTCGTGATCCCAAGAAGCGTCTGCATGACCAGTGAGGACCATTGGACTCCGCCCTCCAAGCACAAGCCCCATGCCCGACGTACTGCACAAGTAGCGCAACACCCTCTTCGCTGCAGCCATGTGCTCTGGTCTGTGTCTCCCAGGAGCAACATAGCGTGCAAGAATGCTAAGAGGGTATGCAAGGTTAGGTCGAGTGCAGGTCATCAGGTACATGAGGCAGCCAACAAGTTCTGGGTAAGGACCACTCGACTCTACGGACTCATCCAAAGGCAGAGCTGAGAGCGAGTGGCGAGTAGGCAGAGGAGTGGCCTGAGGCCAGGAGTACGTGAAGCCGAAGCGCTGAAGGACCTGCTGCACCATGTGTGACTGAGTCAGGGTAATGGTGCGCTGTGCTCTGTCCCGGGTGATCTGCAAGCCAAGGTAGCGGCGCAGTTCACCCAAGTCTGTGCACGTGTGTCTCTTCTGCAGCTCGGACTTCACGTGGGCGAGTCCAGCAGTGTCAGCTGTGGCAAAGACCAAGTCGTCGACGTACACGAGGATGTAGAACGGCGACAAAGAAGTGTCGGTGCGTAGAAACAGCGACGGGTCGGCAGTAGAAGGAGCAAACCCAAGAGCCGCAAATGTAGTCCTCAGTGTGTCGTGCCACTCACGAGGTGCCTGGCGAAGACCGTAGACTGGCCGCCGGAGGCTCCATTGGGTACCAGGAGGAAAAGACCCAGTGAAGCCAAGTGGGCGGCGCAGCCAGATCTCCTCGTGCAGGCTGCCCTGCAAGAAAGCAGTGCTGAAGTCAAGAGAGTGAAGCTCGTAGTCACGGTGAGCAGCTATGTGCAGCAGTACCCGAAGAGTGGTCATCTTCGGGGTGGGAGAGAAGGTCTAAAAGTAGTCAACTCCCTGCCGCTGACTGAAGCCACGAGCCACGTAGCGCGCCTTGAAGACAGGCGGAGAACCCGGCGGCCGCTTCACCCTGAAAATCCACATGCCACTGACGATGTTCGCCCCGGGAGGGGGAACCTCGTCGACGTAGGTGCCTGTGGACTTCCAGGAAGCCATCTTTGCATCCATGGCTGCCTGCCACTGAGAGGAGTAGGGACCCTCTATCGCCTCCGCGTAAGAGCACGGAGTCGGGATGTCTGGTGCATCCGGGTCTCCCTCAGGGGCAAGCAGCATGGACACGAGATGATGTGAAGCAGCAGCAAAGCACTGCAACTCCTCCTGCCTGTCCTCAAGGACGTCCGTGCCAAGGGCACACTCACCCGCGACGGACGGAGGACAGACAGACTCAGACTCAGCGACAAGACTAGCAGCGTAGTCTAGGCGACATTGAGCAGCGAAGTCGACAAGCTCAGAAACTAAGGCAGACGCAGCAGCGGACTCAAACGAAGGGTCAGTGACGACAGTAGCAAGGAGACGCGTGACAGTAGGACTTGCAGTACGAAGGGAGTCCGACTCCGGGTCGGCAAGAACAGGAAGAGAGGACTCAGGAGGAGAAGGCAAAGGGGCACGCAGCGGAGCAGTGGAGGGACGCAGAGACATCCGGTGCGTACCGGGGACAGGGTGAGGACGCTGACGCGAACCACGACTACTAGTGCGAGCAGCACGGACAGGCGACGCAGGACGAGACGCAGGCTCACGACGCTCAGCAAGTTCTCCAGTAGGACCAGTGTAGGGAGAAGGAGCACGCAGAGGAGAGGTAGGCTGTAACTGTGACTCGGACGGGACAGGCGGTGGACACTCTAAGGGAGGAGCCGGACTAGCAGAGGGCGGAAGACCAAGAACCTGCTCAAGGAGCGGAACGAAGTACGGCCGCGGCCGCTCAGCACCACCAGCACCAGAAGGGACAGCACCAGCACCCCGAACGACAGCACCAGCGCCAGCAGCACCCCCAGCTCCAGTAGCGCCAACTCCAGTACCCTCAGAGGCACCAGCACCAGAGGCGCCCTCAGCGCCAACACCCCCAGCAGTTCCAGCTCCAGCCAGACCACCAGAAGACGCAGCAAGTCCAGCTCCAGCACCCTCAGTAGCACCGACGCCCGCAGCACCACCAGCTCCAGTACGAGAAGCACCCGCAGGCCCAGCAGCTCCAGTACTCCCAGTACGAGCACCTCCGGGACCCGCGGCACCAGCACCCTTAGCAGCAGCTGAACCTCCAGCACCCGCAGCACCTCCAACTCGAGTAGCTTGCCTCCAGCGCCGGGCAAACCACTCACGCAGCTCCTGTGGAGAGAGTAGCTCCCGCCGGGACGAAGCACCCGAAGAACCTCCAGGCCCAGCACCGCCAGACGTCACACGAGCAGGTCCAGTACCCTCAGACTCCGCACCCCCAGACGCAGCACCCCCAGGCTCAGCGCCCCCTGACGCAGCACCCCCAGGCTCAGCACCCCCAGACGCAGCACCCCTAGAGTCAGCACCCCCAGGCTCAGCACCCCCAGAGTCAGCACCCCCAGACCCAGCACCCGCAGGCTCAGCACCCCTAGCAGCACCAGAGTCAACAGCTACCTCGACAGGGTCCACTGCGTCGACCTGAGACACACCTGAGGGGGCAGGACCCTGAGGGGGGAGGGGGTCTATCGGAGCGGGACCTGGTGTAAGGAAGAGCGGCGGGGGGGGGGAGGGACGCAGTGCGGTAGGGGAAGAGACGGTAGTAGGGAAGCGACTCGTCAATCGTGACGTCCTGGGAGGACAGAACACGGCGCGAGGTGGGGTGGTAGAACTGCCAGCCCGGCGCGTCAGGGGGGAAGCCAAGGAAGACGCAGGGAACAGCACGAGGGGACAGCTTGTCCGCAGACAAGTCGCGGACAAACGCCCGAGATCCCCAGACGCGGAACGCAGACGCATCGCCAACCTTCCCCGTCCACAGCAAAGCAGGGGAGGTCTCCGGCATGGAGACCCGGGGCTGAAGGTTGATCTGATTCGCCGCGTACCGAACCGCAAACGGCCACAGAAAATGGGGGGCAGCCGCATGGACCATGGACGTACGAGCGACGTCCATGACCATGCGAATGCGGCGCTTTGCAATCCCATTTTGCTGCGGAGAGTCCGGAAGCGTGAAGGTCTGGCAGATGCCTCGTGCACGACAAAAGGCTCGCAGAAGGTCAAAGGAGAACTCTCCGCCTCTGTCAGAGTGCAGACGCAGAACAGGAAAGTCCGAGCCGAAACTCTCTCTGAGCTGGAGACGAGCTGCGCGGATCTAGGCGATCAACATCTCAGTGACCTCACCCTTGCTGCGCAAGGGGAGGACTGCGGTGTAACGCGAGTAGTCGTCAACCACCAGCAGGAAGTAGAGAACGAGGGGAGGTAAAGACCCGACAGGGTGCCAGAAGGGGCCGGCGGACACGGTAGAACAGTGGAGAAGTGGGCAAGGACAGGACCCCCAGAGGGGTCTGCCAGGGAGACTGCCACTGGCTGACTAAGCAGCGTAAGCGTGGTGCGGTCTCGAAAAAAGGAGCGGGAAGCACCCGAGTCAAGGGTACCTGAGAGCGCAGATTCACCAGCACCTGGGGCAGCAGGCTCACTGGCACCTAGAGCAGCAGCCTCACCAGCACCTAGAGCAGCAGCCGCAATGCCCGGGTCAGGCGGAAAACACCGTTAACAGTCACCCTCATCACTAATAGTCACAGCATACATGGCAGCAAGAATAGCATCATATTTAAGATCAAATATCGGAACACTCGCCCTAAACAGCTCGCCCCAGCGAGGGATCTCAGTAGCGTTAGGGAACTGATGACGCCAAGCGTCCATCACGCGGCCGAAGCAGCGCTGGGTGGAGTGCGGACCCCCACACTGCTCACCCGCGCGCTCGCCGGTACGTAGAACGTAGGTACAGGTGCCAGCACCCCCACCCCGCTGACGAGCAGTGTACCACTCACGAAGCTGCTGGGGGGAAGGGGTCTCACGAGTGCGCTGCTGCTGCTGCTGGCGCTGACCACCACCGGAGCCGACCCTCTGCGTAGCGCCGCCCCGACCAGCTCCACCTCCGCCGCCGCTACCTCCACCACCGCCTCCACCTCCGCCACCTCCGCCCGCACCGCCACCACCGCCGCCTCCTCCGCCTCCACTGCCGCCACTAGCGCCCCCACCACCGCCACCACTCCCATCGCCACCCCCACCCCCTCCGCCGCCTCCACCGCCGCCTCCACCGCCCCCTCCAGCTCCTCCAGCGCCCTTGCCCCCCTTGCCCTTGCCTGAGCGGCGTCTCTTGCTAGGGGCAGACGCCGCGCCGACCGACTCAAGACCAACGAGGTCGGCCGCAGCAGCAGAGGCAACAGAGGGCAAGAGGGGGGAGAGGGAGCACCCCTCAAAGATAGGGGTACGAGGGTCACCACCAGAGGCTCCTACAGCGACTATACTCTTCTCTGCTGCTAGGAGGCGCTCCTCGAGGAGGTCAACGGTGAGAGTGGTGGGGAAAACAGAGAGGAAGTGGTCCCTGACCGAGCGAAGGGTGTCAGGGAGCCGGGTGACTATGTAGTAGAGGGTGATGTACATAGGAGGGGGGTTCTTGGCGCAGAACTCAGCAGGACGCGCAGCGCGGTAGCGAATGTCACTAGTGCGAAGGTGTGTAATGAGGTCAGCGACTGTGGGAAAAGCGGCGAGGTCAGGGAAGAGGAACGGCAGTATGAGGCGGCTATGAGCAGCAGTGGCAGGGGAAGAGTAGCGTGCAACTACAGCGTCGTACAAGGTCTGAGCACTCTTGTACTGACTAGAATGCGCGCGCTCAGCGGTCGGTAAGTGGCGGCGCACAGCAAGGCGGGCAGCAGCATTGCGCGTGGCCCACTGTGAGCGAACATTTGCGTCAGCATCAGCAGCAGGGGCAGGAGAGGCACCAGAAGTGAGGTCAAAGAGGGAGAGACCGTCTGCCCTATCGCACTGGAGGAAAAGCTGCAAATCATCTACCCAGACCTCAAAGTCAACAGCCCGACCCTCAGCGTCAAAGGTGAGAACACTGGGGGTGGCCATGACAGCAGTAGATAGGCAGTGAGCAGAGCGGGGTAGGGCAGTGCAGTGGCAGAGGCGTTGCGCTTACCAGGCAAGTGAGGCGGTTCGGGGCAGGCCGGCAGGGACAGGGCCGCTACTGCAGTGACGGCGGCGTCTCGATTGCGGCGGCCCGGCGGCTCGGCGGCTCGGCTGCAGTGCGGCTCGGCGGCTGGACGGCTTGGCGGCAAAGGCGGCTCGGCGGCTCGGCGAGAAAGGCGGCTCGCCGGCTCAGCGGCTCGGCAGCGAAGGAGGCTCGGCGGGGCCGTGAAGGGCGGCGTCGCTGCCGCGAAGGAGCGGCGACGGGGCCGCTGAAGGGCGGCGACGAGGCCGCCGAAAGGGGCGGCGACGAGGCCGAGTAGGGGCGGCGACGGGGCTGCGGAAAGGGGCGGCAACGGGGCCACGGAAAGGGGCGGCGACGGGGCCGCTGAAGTGCGGCGACGGGGCCGCTGAAGGGCGGCGACGAAGCCGCTAAGAGGCGGCAACGGGGCCGCTGAAAGGGCGGCGACAGGGCCGCTGAAGGGCGGCGACGAAGCCGCTAAGAGGCGGTGACGGGGCCGTTGAAAGGGCGGCGACGGGGCCGCTGAAGGGCGGCGACGAAGCCGCTAAGGGGCGGCGACGGGGCCGCTGAAAGGGCGGCGACGGGGCCGCTGAAGGGCGGCGACGGGGCTGCTGAAAGGGCGGCGACGGGGCCGCTGAAAGGGCGGCAACGGGGCCGCCGAGAGGGCGGCGACGAGGCTGCTGAAAGGGCGGCGACGGGGCCGCTGAAAGGGCGGCGACGGGGCCGCTGAAAGGGCGGCGACGGGGCCGCTGAAAGAGGGAGGCGGCGACGGGGCCGCGGAAGGACGGCGACGGGGCCGGAAGGGGCGGCGACGGGGCCGTCAAGGGCGGCAACGAGGCCGGCAGAGGCGGCAACGGGGCCGCTAAGGGCGGCGCGACGGGCCGCTAAGGAGGGCGCGACGGGGCCGCTAAGGAGTGCGCGATGGGGCCGTTAAGGAGGGCGCGACGGGGCCGCTAAGGAGGGCGCGACGGGGCCGCTAAGGAGGGCGCGACGGGCCGCTAAGGGCAGAACACTAGGCGCGCCTCGGGCAGGGGACAACGCGCGCCTCGGGCAGGAAAAAAAGTTCGATCTTGGTGGGCCCTAGGACAGTTCCCACCAGGGAACCTACTCGATACCATGAGAAACTTAGAACGAGAATGAATTGACTAAGGAATGAAAGTGATGCAATTGTGAAACCCTAGAATTGTGTACCCCTTAGTATCTAACCCGCTATAGCCTACACAGGCTAGATCATATAAGTTTGACAAATATGGCGGGGGTAACCAGGCTGTTAACCGATCTTCTGCATAAGGGCGAGCAATCTGGTTGGGGGGAGAGAGAGCAGCTGGCCTTCAATGAGCTGAATAAAAATTTGAGTTCACCCCCGGTACTTCGTCTGGCAGATCCATCCCGACCGTTTGAAGTCATGACGGACGCCAGCGATTTCGCCGTCGGCGCCGTCCTCCTACAAGACTTCAGCAACGGGCTGCAACGCATCGCGTACGAGTCAAGGAAAACGCAGCCGCCCGAGCGCAACTACCCTGTACACGACAAAGAAATGCTCGCCATCGTGCATGCGTTTTGTACCTGGCACTGTTACCTCACGCGAGCCGACGTCACTATCAAGACCGACCATAAGTCATTACAGTACATGCGCAGCCAACCACAGCTCAACCTGCGACAAATCCGATGGCTCGACTACCTCGAGTCAAACTTCAGCTCCGCGATCACGTACAAAAAGGGCGCCAACAACATCGCCGACGCCATGACCCGCCCATCGATGCGGGCCGCAGCAGTACTAATCGCCCATTCCAACCCTTTATTGGCAGGACTCTTCAAGCATGGCTACAGTGTTGACCGGTTTTTCAGGACCAACCAACACCAACGGGTCACCACGGGGCATGGAAGCTATTACCTAAAAGTTGGTACCAACCGAGTTTGGGTACCTTCCTACCGACCCTTACGAGAATCGCTGACGCAGGAGGTACACGACTCCAATCTCTCCGGGCATTTCGGCGTCGACAAAACATTGAAGCTGCTGCAATGGTGGCCCGACATGGCGTGGGACGTGCAACACTACGTGTCCGCCTCCCCAACCTGCCAAGCAATGAAATCATCACGTCAACGCCCAGCTGGATTGCTGCAACCTCTCGAGCCACCCAAACGACCGTGGCAACATGTGACAATGGACTTTGTCACCGGGCTGCCAGCTGGTGCAAGTGGCAAGGACTCGTACTGGTCGTCGTCGACCGCTTAACGAAAATGGCGCACTTCGCCCCATGCCGTACGACGATCACAGCCGAAGAAACAGCGAAGCTCTTCATCTCAACCGTCGTGCGACTACACAGGTTACCATCGGCGATCATCAGCGATCGAGATCCGAAATTTACGTCGAAGTGAGAAGACTGAAACGAGAATGATTGACTAAGGAACGAAAGTGATACAAATATGCAACCCTAGAAATGTGTACCCCATATAGGCTACCCCACTATAGCCTACACAACATTATAATTTGACACACCCCCATAGGCAAAGTGGGGGAGAACAAGGGGTCACAAGACCAGTCAAGCAAAACAAAGAAAAGCTCAGGGTGGATCACAAAGTCACCACACATTCCGAGCACAAGTTCAAGGCCAGAAGGCCAGTTCACATGCAGGAACACATATATATATAACAGGCTAAACAAGCAAGAGCAGGAGTATATATATATATGTCACAGTACAAGCAAGGTCAAGAAGTGAGTAAGTGAGGCAAGACAGGTACAAGACCAAGCTGAGTACAGAAGCGCTGATGATCACAAGGCGCAAGTGCCTTAGTGAAGATATCAGCAGTGTTGGCCTCAGAGGCCACGTACGCAAGTCGCAACTGACCACGCTGCTGCAGCTCACGAGCAAGAAAGTAGCGGAGAGCAATGTGCTTCGTTCTGTGCTCCAGCCGCTGCTCCCGACACAAGGCCAGCATGGCCTTGTTGTCTACGTACAGCACTGGAGGAGAACGAGGCGGCTCTCCGAGGTCAGTCAGCAAGTAGGTGAGCCAGCAAAGCTCCTGAGCAGCCATGGCTCCTGCATAGATCTCAGCCTCACAACTGGAGCCGAGAACAGAAGACGAGCGAGTAGCCCGCCACGAAACAGAGCCGGAACCAAGGCTGAAGGTGTAACCCTGTGACGACCGCTGTGTAGCCTGGTCGTCAGCCCAAGAAGCGTCTGCGGGCCCAGTGAGGACCACTGGACTCTGCCCTCCAAGCACTAGCCCCATGCCTGACGTACTGCACAAGTAGCGCAACACCCTCTTCGCTGCAGCCATGTGCTCTGGTCTGTGTCTCCCAGGAGCAACATAGCGTGCAAGAATGCTAAGAGGGTATGCAAGGTCAGGTCAAGTGCAGGTCATCAGGTACATGAGGCAGCCAACAAGCTCTGGGTACGGGCCACTCGACTCTACGGACTCATCCGAAGGCAGAGCTGAGAGCGAGTGGCGAGTAGACAGAGGAGTGGCCTGAGGCCAGGAGTACGTGAAGCCGAAGCGCTGAAGGACCTGCTGCACGAGGTGTGACTGAGTCAGGGTAATGGTGCGGCGTGCTCTGTCCCGGGTGATCTGCAAGCCAAGGTAGCTGCGCAGTTCACCCAGGTCTGTGCACGTGTGTCTCTTCTGCAGCGCGGACTTCACGTCGGCGAGTCCAGCAGTGTCAGCAGTGGCAAAGACCAAGTCGTCGACGTACACGAGGATGTAGAACGGCGGCAGAGAGGTGTCGGTGCGCAGAAACAGCGACGGGTCAGCAGTAGAGGGAGCAAACCCAAGAGCCGCAAGCGTAGTCCTCAGTGTGTCGTGCCACTCGCGCGGTGCGTGGCGGAGACCGTAGACTGGCCGTCGGAGGCTCCACTGGGTGCCAGGATGGAAAGTCCCAGTGAAGCCAGGTGGACGGCGCAGCCAGATCTCCTCGTGCAGGCTACCCTGCAAGAAAGAAGTGCTGAAGTCAAGGGAGTGAAGCTCGTAGTCACGCTGAGCGGCTATGTGTGGCAGCACCCGAAGAGTGGTCATCTTCGGGGTGGGAGAGAAGGTCTGAAAGTAGTCAACTCCCTGCCGCTGACTGAAGCCACGAGCCACGTACCACGCCTTGAAGACAGGTGGAGAACCTGGCGGCCGCTTCACCCTGAAGATCCACATGCCACTGACGATGTTCGCCCCAGGAGGGGGAACTGCGTCAACGTAGGTGCCTGTAGACTTCCAGGAAGCCATCTCTGCATCCATAGCTGCCTGCCACTGAGAGGAGTAGGGACCCTCTACGGCCTCCGCGTAAAAGCGCGGAGTCGGGATGTCAAGTGCATCCGGGTCTCCCTCAGGGGTAAGCAGTACGGACACGAGATGAGGTGAAGCAGCAGCCAGACACTGGAACTCGTCCTGCCTGTCCTCAAGGACGTCCGTGCCAAGAGCACACTCACCCCCGACGGACGGAGGACACAGATGCAGACTCAGCAACAAGACTAGCAGCGTAGTCTAGACGACAGCGAGCAGCAAAGTCGACGAGCTCAGCAACAAGAGCAGACGCAGCAAAGGACTCAAAGGAGGGGTCAGTGACGATAGTAGCAAGGAGACGCGTGACAGTAGGACTGGCAGCACAAAGAGAGTCCGACTCCGGGTCGGCAAGTGCAGGAAGAGAGGACTCAGGAGGAGAAGGCAAAGGGGCACGCAGAGGAGCAGTGGACGGACGCAGAGACATCCGGTGCGTGCCAGGGACAGGAGGAGGACGCTGACGCAAACCGCGACCACTAGTGCGAGCAGCACAAATAGGCGACGCAGGACGAGACGCAGGCTCACGACGCTCAGCAAGACCTCTAGTAGGACCAGTGTAGGGAGAAGGAGCAGGCACTAGGGAGGCTGGCGGAAGCTGTGACTGGGACTGGACAGGCGGTGGACACTCTAAGGGAGGAGGAAGACCAAGAACCTGCTG